CTCTTCAAGTGTCATTTCATAAGAATATAAAGAATGCTAAGAACTTAGATATATATTACTTACCAGAAGAGAAGCTAATGTAAAATTAGTTTATTACGATTAAAATATATAAAAATCAGACAACTGATTATAAAATATATAACATTAAATCACAAGTAGACCAAGAGAATGATCGTGGAAATGATAGATGGAAGAAAGATTATAAAGTGACACAAGCAATCTTTAGCCAAGAGACATTATCGATGGTCATACCTATGGCCGCTGTTTCTTGCATGCTTGCTTTTCTTCTCTCTTGTCTAATATCTAGAGCCAGCGCCCAGGTTACCCACAAGTACTGTGATAACAAGGAAGGGAACTACACAATCAATAGCACCTATCACAACAATCTCAACACCCTTCTATCCAAGCTTTCTTCCCACACAGAAATTAATTATGGTTTCTACAACTTCTCATATGGTCAAAACAATGACAAAGTAAACGCCATTGGGCTATGCAGAGGAGATGTTGAGCCAGATAAGTGCCGCAGGTGCCTCAACGATTCTGCAGCCACGATCACACAGCTTTGTCCAAACCAGAAAGAGGCATATTTGTGGTTGAAGACCAACGAATGCCAGTTGAGTTATTCTCCGCGCTCAATATTCGGTGTCGTGGAATCTTCTCCTTGGTTCTACATGAAGAACAGTAACAATGTAACGGAACCGGATAAGTTTAACCAAGCCCTCACCAACTTAATGAAGAATCTCACAGCCGTGGCTGCATCAGGTGACTCTCGTCGCAAGTATGCTGCGGATAGTGTTGATGTTTCAACTCTTCAAACCATATATGGTCTTGTGCAGTGCACCCCTGATTTGTCCGAGACAGACTGCAATAGATGCTTGGATGGGGCTATATACGAAATCTCATCGTGTTGTGCGAACAAGAAGGGTGTTAGAGTTGTTAGACCAAGTTGTAATATTAGATTCGAAACTTACAGCTTCTACGATCAAACGCCTAAATTAGACCCTGATGCAATACCACCATCACCATCATCTCCTTCCTCCTTCAATAACACTTCCGCCAAAGGTACTTGTTATTGTTAGACTTTTTGATACTTTATCATCCTTAATTGTTGAAATGCCTCCCTCACCCCGCAGAAAATTCTTGTTTTTTCAGAGAGCAAAAACACAACAATTGTCATTGCCGTTGTTGTTCCTACTGTCGTTCTTGCTGTCGTTTCCCTCCTTTGTCTCTGCAGTTATTTAAGTAGGAGGAAGGCAAGAAAACGTTTAGCAGGCAAGTTCCAAGTATCTAGTGCATATATGATATGTCATAATTTACAGTATTTTTTCCTATAAATGATCATTTCTATTTGACTACTTAGAATCTATCAAACAGACAAAATTATTTTTTTAATGATTGAAAGCATGAGTAAAGTTGCCGCTGAGAATGTAAAAAGAGAGGCTTATATACCCTTTGTGTGCTGTTTCAGAAATTGTACCACCCGATTTCAAATTCTGACTGCACTATTGTGGTTGTGTTGTAACATATTTTAAAAACTCACTATTTTAAATTTGTTCCCATGTGAAGTTAATCAAGATGATGATGACATCGAAATTACTCAGTCATTGCAATTTGACTTCGAGACAATACGAGTTGCTACAGAAGACTTCTCTGATTCTAATAAACTTGGAGAAGGTGGATTTGGAGCTGTTTACAAGGTAAATGACTCTGTCGAGTTCAGACACACATCGTGTTTTAATCAAAACATGCTAAAACATTAACCGGACAGAGATTTGTAATTTCAGGGTAGGCTCCCCAATGAACAGATGATTGCGGTCAAAAGGTTGTCAAGTGGATCCAGCCAAGGAGACACAGAGTTTAAGAATGAAGTGCTTTTAGTGGCCAAGCTTCAGCACAGAAATTTAGTCAGACTACTTGGTTTCTGCTTGGAAGGAAGAGAAAGGCTACTCGTCTATGAGTTTGTTCCTAACAAAAGCCTTGATTATTTCATATTTGGTAGGTCTTAATGATACCCACACACACACATATATCAAAACGCACACATGTATATATACCACTAAAACTCTAGGTTGTACGCAGATCCAGCCAAGAAAGCACTGTTGGATTGGGCAATGCGATACAGAATCATAAAAGGTATTAGCCGAGGGCTTCTCTACCTTCACGAAGATTCTCTTCTGCGTATTATACATCGTGATCTCAAAGCAAGCAATATTCTCTTAGACGAAGAGATGAATCCTAAGNCTGTCGAGTTCAGACACACATCGTGTTTTAATCAAAACATGCTAAAACATTAACCGGACAGAGATTTGTAATTTCAGGGTAGGCTCCCCAATGAACAGATGATTGCGGTCAAAAGGTTGTCAAGTGGATCCAGCCAAGGAGACACAGAGTTTAAGAATGAAGTGCTTTTAGTGGCCAAGCTTCAGCACAGAAATTTAGTCAGACTACTTGGTTTCTGCTTGGAAGGAAGAGAAAGGCTACTCGTCTATGAGTTTGTTCCTAACAAAAGCCTTGATTATTTCATATTTGGTAGGTCTTAATGATACCCACACACACACATATATCAAAACGCACACATGTATATATACCACTAAAACTCTAGGTTGTACGCAGATCCAGCCAAGAAAGCACTGTTGGATTGGGCAATGCGATACAGAATCATAAAAGGTATTAGCCGAGGGCTTCTCTACCTTCACGAAGATTCTCTTCTGCGTATTATACATCGTGATCTCAAAGCAAGCAATATTCTCTTAGACGAAGAGATGAATCCTAAGATAGCAGATTTTGGCATGGCAAGACTGGTTTTACTGGATCAAACTCACGCAAATACAGATAGAGTTGTGGGAACCTAGTAAGTACTGACACCTAATCATAATCATGTACTGTTACTAAATTCTTAAGATTATAACTTTGTTATGAATATCATTAGAAGCTGAATGAAAAATTGTGATGGTGGAGAGATTGACTAATTCAACCTATCTATGTTGGCTTGCAGTGGATACATGGCACCGGAGTACATAACGCAAGGACAATTTTCGGTGAAGTCAGATATCTTTAGTTTTGGTGTACTGCTTCTTGAGATCGTAAGTGGCCAGAAAAACAGTAGCTTTCGTCATGGGGAGAATGTTGAAGACCTACTGAGCTTCGTAAGTGCTATTTTCTCCTTATTATTTATTTTTCATTAAAAAATATGTATTAGAAAATTACATAGCCAACACATTGGTGGAACCAGTGACTGAAATAACAAATATTTGCAGACATGGAGAAACTGGAGGGAGGGAACAGCTGTAAAAATTGTAGATCCATCATTGAACAACAATTCAGTAAATGAAGTGATGAGATGCATTCATATTGGTTTGCTCTGTGTTCAAGAAAACATAACTAATAGACCAACCATGGCGACCGTTATGCTCATGCTCAGTAGCTATTATCTCAATCTTCCTATCCCTTCTGAACCTGCATTTTATGCCCACAGTACAACTAGAAGCCTTCCAGCCACGTATTCATGGGGACACAGTTCAAGGGCAACAACAAACAAATCTGCTCAAGAGTCAGAAAATGAGAATTCAATAACTGAGCTGTACCCTCGCTAGATTTTGGTAACGGGATTGATATTCGTTCACTATCAATACTTAGACTACGTAAATACTCTCGGAGCTCATGTAATTTTTCATGCAATTTCTTGTTTGAAAAAACTATTTGATAATATTCCCAAAGCAGATCAATCAATAAAAGCAATTAAACCCCTTCTATTAATTAGTAATCCGAATACTTTAAGCGGAAGCCTTTTTGAGTTTGTTATTAGAAACAATATAGATAAAAACGGTATTCATTTTTCAATGAGATGACAAAAACGGTTAAATCCGGAGAATCATTCCATCAGTCCAATAAAAAAGACGAATCAAGAACAATTTTTTCAATTTGAAAACTTGAACCAACTCTCGTCAAACTCGGCAATCCTGCAGGTCAACCTACGGGTCAAGTGGGTCAGTCCAATATCACAGCCTCATTGAAAAAAAAAGTTGAACATCATGCTGCGACAGTTTCTATTAACATAGTCCAGCTTTAGTAACACAGTCCAATAAGTCGGCCAAAGTCTGATAGACTAAAATCTAAAACAGTCCGGATAACAACTCTTTTTAGCTCATTTCAGTCCGACAATGCAACATTTTCCCGTTTTTATGTAAAAAATAAAAACTTTGGACCCATTTTCACATAACATTAGATTTTCGAAAAAAAAAACAAAATAAAAAACAGCGGACTAGTCCTTCAGCTTAGAATGTAATATAAAATTATACCATATATCTTTAGAATAAAAAATTATGTTTTAAATTTTTACATGATAAAAAATATAATTGTTAGCTAATTTTTTGAAAAATATAATTATTAACTAATTTTTAAAAGTAATCATTATTTTGAAATATTTTTAATAAAACTATCATGGGTTTCTTTTTTTTTTCTTTTTTGTGTTTTCATCACATTTGTATTTAACATTTAGGTGCTTCTTATTATTTTCATTTTTTTTCTTTTATATATCAACTTAATCTTCTATATATTATTAATTTATAATACAATTAAAAATATTTAAAATTTACTAACACATGTGCTATATTTTTTTTTCTGGTAGCAATTTTGATTATATGTGTTGTATTTTTTTTCTGGTAGTAATTTTGATTGTGATAAATAATTAAATATGATATGATCATTATATTTTATTAATCAATTTATTAAAGTGATTTATTAAAAACAACTTTATAGCTAATGCCATATATATCTTAAAATATTAACTAAATAAAAATATAAACAATATTTTAAAAATATAAAAAATATTCTAAATTGATGAGGAATTAAATTAAAAATATTAAAATTAAACATAAAAATGTTATGTAGATGACGTATTTATTTATTTTTATTTTTTTGTCTTCATCCATCCTTATCAGATATTAAAGAAAGAATCTAAAATACTAAATACTATTCTTATTTACATTAATTCTAATGATCAATAAATATTTTTTAGCTCTATAAAATTTTAGAAATTGTTTAATTAAAAAGTAATTAATTTTTCATTAATTATATTTATGATTTTGGTTCATAATCTAATGATTTTTTTCATCATATTTGTAGTTTGTACCGGTTTACAATCAAGTATTTTTTATTACTTTCCTTATATATTAACTTAGTGAATTTATTTATATTATTAATTTATAATACAATTTAATCAACTTATTGTTTCTAAGTAACATAAAGATCCTAGATAGAATAAGATGAAATGGGGAAAATTGAATTTGGGAATGGTGCAGGTACCATTGACCTGACCTAACTTGGAAATAGACTGCAAAGCAATCCACTCATTGCCGGTTGTCATAGACTGGAGCCACCAAGGCTCGTCAATGTTGACTAGGAATGCTAACTACCTCCACAAATTGCAATATGAATTCGTGCCCTGCTTTATAATTAATCTCTAGTGGAAACCATTCTATCCACTCAAAACTTTCTATAAATATAATTGAAGTTTATTTCCTATCCATCATAAATTAGAAAATAATACAAATGTATTTATATTATAAGAAATATATCGATTAAAGTTAATGGTCATTTATGGATAATTAACAAGTACATTAGCAAGTATTAATAGGTCAGATTGTTTATTTATATTATAAGAAATATATTGATTGGAGTTAATGATCATTTATGGATAGTTAACAAGTACATTAGCAGGTATTAATAGGTCAGATTGTTTTACGTTGCGTTAATGGTGAGTTAATGGTTAATCAATGTGCTTGAGTGTCACAAGCCCTATAAATATATTATTGATTGATGTTCAGGTAAAATAACCTTGATCTATCCTAATAAAATAAGAAGACGTCTTTGAAAAAGATATCTAACTTGAGCGTCGGAGTGTCTTCTGCAGGTCAACAACTTATCGAAGTGTATTGCGTTCTTGGAGGGGATTGAAGATTGGACGATCGAAAGAGAGCAGAGCAAGGAAGGACGACTGACCCTCGGACTAATTCAACCCAAACATTTGGCGTCCACTATGGGGTCGAGCGGCATCCCCATGAAACCACGAGGAACCAGACGCGCTCGATCTCGACATCGCTACTTCGGATTAATATCAAGCTTTGCAACAAGAGAAAAAAATTTGATAATATTTTCTAAAGGCATGTCTTTTATTTTGAGAACTTTAAGGAAACTATTAGAGGTTTATGAGGCAAAAATTTAAATGCATGCACACAAAAAAAATTATAAAAATAAAATGTTGAATATTTTATTTAACGCATATTTTTGTGAGTAAAAATATCCTAGACAGTAAGATTCAATCCCTTATCGCTTGGTCAGTTGGACTACCAAAGTTCAACCTTGTCAGGTTCTAATGGTTTCTCGTTATAAAAATAAAATATTGAATATTTTATTTAACGCATATTTTTGTGAGTAAAAATATCTTGCACAGAAAGGTTCAATCCCTTACCGCTTGGTTAGTTGGACCACCAACTTTCAACCTTTATTTTATTTAACGCATATTTTTGTTGTGAGTAAAAATATTCTGCACGGAAAGGTTCAATCCCTTACCGCTTGGTTAGTTAGACCACCAACGTTCAACCTTAGCGGGTTCTAATGGCTTCTCACTATCAAAATAAAATATTAAATATATTATTTAACGCATATTTTTGTGAGTGAAAATATCCTGCACAGGAAGGTTCAATCCCTTACCACTTAGTCAGTTGGACCACCAACGTTCAACCTTGTGAGGTTCTAATGGTTTCTCATTATAAAAATAAAATATTGAATATTTTATTTAGCATATTTTATTTAGCGCATTTTTGAGTAAAAATATCCTGTACAGGAAGGTTCAATTCCTTCCCGTTTGGTTAGTTTGACCATCAACGTTCAACCTTATCACGTTCTAATGGCTTGTCATTATAAAAATAAAATATTGAATATTTTATTTAAAGCACATTTTTGTGAGTAAAGATATCCTGCAAATGAACGTTCAATTCCTTACCGCTTGGTCAGTTGGACCACCAATGTTTAGCCTTGTCAGGTTCTAATGAATTTTCATTATAAAAATAAATTATAAAATATTGAAGCGTGTACTTTATTTTGTTTAATGCATATGTTTGTGAGTGAAAATATCTTGCAGAGGAAAAAGTTCCAAAGAGAACTTTTAGTGCCTTCCTTCAACATAGGAAAAAGTTCTAAAAAATAACTTTTATAAGTCGCTGCTCAGCCTAGAGAAAAAGTTCAAATAGAACTTCTAGTGTCTTCGCTCAACATAGGAAAAAGTTCCAAAAAAGAACTCCAATCAGTCGCTGCTCGGCCTAGAGAAAAAGTTCAAATAGAACTTCCTGTGGCTTCGCTCAACATAGGAAAAAGTTCTGAAAAAGGAACTCCTATGTCGCTCGGCCTAGAGAAAAAAGTTCAAATAGAACTTCTAGTGTCTTCGCTCAACATATGAAAAAGTTTTAAAAAAAGAACTCCTATCACTCGTCGCTCGGCCTAAAAAGTTCAAAGAGAACTCCTAGTGTCTACTGCTCAACCTAGGAAACCTTGTCAGGTTCTAATAGCTCTTCATTATAAAAACAAATTATAAAATAATGAAGCTTTTACTTTATTTTGTTTAACGAATATTTTTGTGAGTGAAAATATCTTGTACACGAAAAAGTTCCAAAGAGAACTCCTAGCGTCTAATGTTCAATGTAGGAAAAAGTTTCGAAGAGAGCTCCTAGCATCTCCCGCTCAACCTAGGAAAATGTTCCAAAGAGAACTCTTAGTGTTTTCCGCTCAACTTAGGAAAAAGTTCTAAAGAGAACTCATAGCGTTTCCCGCTCAACCTAGGGAAAAAGATTACAAAGAGAACTCCTAGAGTTCGTCGCTCGGTGCAGAGAGGAATGAAGACTTAAAGCGCATCAAAAATAGACTTCGTAAAAATGTGAATGACGTATCTTAAAGCTCATAATAATCCCTGCGCACCTCTTTTAATAAAGAGCTTGCTTGGGGGACTTATGTACTATAAATATACCGATCAAAGTTAATGGTCATTTATGGGAAGTTAGCAAGTATATTAGCATGTATTAATGAGTTAGATTCTTTTACACTTTACAAATATAGGATACTAATAATTGATTATTAGGTTTGATTGCCTAAAAATATACTGAGTTAATTGGTTAATCAATGTGCTTGGCTGCCACAAGCCCTGTAAATATACTATTGATGTCCAGATAAAATAAACTTGATCTATCCTAATAAAATAAAGACCTATTTGAAAAAGATATCTAACTTTGACTTAGCGTTAGAGTGTTTTTTATAGGTTAACAACTCATTAGAGTGGATTACATTCTCGGAGGGGATTGCGTTCTCAGAGAGGATTGGACGATAAAAAGAAAATAGAACAAGAAAGGACGATAGTCTCGTACCATTTCAACCGAAAGAGTATTATTTATGTAATTTTATATATTATTTATAGAAAATAACTCTTTGAACGGTTTTTATTTGAAATTATTGAATGTTTAGTTCTAAAATAACTCTTAGAATGAGTAGAAATCATTAGGTCCTAAAATACCACTGTTATGCTCTCCCCGTCAATATCTAAATGACATGTATTTAAACTTTTGTACTTAAAATTAAATAAGTAATAATATTTAATTATATGTAACATAAAAATCAGGCGGACCAATAGATAAGTGACGATTCAATAACACTTCACAGTTTCTTAAAAAAGTATGAAATATTAAATGGTCATATTCGCATGTTTTATTATTCATATACTAATAGTTGAATAATATTCATTTAAGATTTTATTAAAAAATAATTAATAGTATTAATTATGTATGACGTCAAATTGTAATAATTTGAGAAGAGTGAAAGAATTTCCTTCTAATATCAATTAATTATTTGTCATAAAAAAAATAAAAGTCCAATTAAATAAACATAATATTATTAAAAAACAATTAGATAAGAGTGAAAGAATTATATCACACTTATCACAAACAGGTGATAGGGGATTTAGTAGCAC